ATACAATGACGGTACGATTAAGAAAAATAAAATGTCATGTTTTTGAAAGCTTTTACACTGGATTTATTCTATGGCATATTTTTAATTAGGAGAGATCTTTTGCAGCGTCAACATAGGAGCAAGCAATCTCTTTAAAACGCATGTTTGATCCTTAGAAAATTACATTTCAGGCATCACGTCCTCTTCTTTTTCGAATTAAATTGTCAATCTTTGAAAATTTAGTTGAAGTCAATAAGATGTTTGTCCATTCGAAATAAATATGTGTAGAGCAAATTTGCTCAATTGCATCTGGGTTTGCCTTAATTTTTTTTTTTCATTTTCGGATGCTTACCCTCAAGGACAACGAAAATTATAGAAAACATTTTCTTCAAATAAAGATAAGAGAAACCAGCCTTGCAAGTTCAGCTACGATTTTTAAACCACTCACTGCAAGACCCCCAAAATAAAACATTGTTTTTAAAGATTAAAGGATTTAAGTCTGAAAATGATCTTTTCCTTGTGTGGGACTACTCGATATATTCCCATGCACACGGTATTAAATATGTTGACTTTTTCGAGACCTGTTAATAAAACACTAAGTAGAAAAAGTGTTTCGAATTTATTTAATCCGTGTTTGAATTCTAGTGAAAATAAAAGCTTAAAACATTAATCATATTAAATTGTCTACATTCGTGGGTTTTTAAGCGTTTGTTCAAAGATTGTAATCCTTCGTTTTCATTTTGCTGGCTAAAGAACACTTTTTATTTGGACATATTATAAGTACAGAACAAATCGTGTTCTATCGATTTTCATAATCATGCCAAAGATATTTGGAAAACGCCCTAATTACGATTTTCGCAGTAATTAATAAAAACTGCTTGACACAGGGATCGAGGAAACATTACAAGACCAGCTTCCGGATCGATTGCAACATCATTCGGAACCCCTTTGTTCATATATTGATGTAATCAAAACATTTTTTCTTGAAGCGTGCACTTCAAAGTCTGCTCTATTTTAAACTTAACTTGCAACACTGATATTATAATTATTAACAGTTCTGAGAGCGAAAAAGAGACATGAAATAATTACTTATTCGGAAGAAAATTATAAATTATATTTTGCAAATTCTGCTTTGTAGATTTTTTGAATTGCAGATATTAATCTACCTATATATCCACTCGGTTAGTTAAAAAAACATAATGTTAATGAGTTTGACCTTTGACAAAATTTTTTTTGCGCAGTTTCCTTTTCGTTCACTTTTTCCTGCGGCTCATGCTAATCAGATTGCCTTTGTTAGAACACTGTTTTGTTATTTAATTGCTATTTGATCCTTCTATATTATATTCTTCATTGCCCTGATAATCGATTTTAAAGTGAAAACCTTACAGAAGTGGGAAATTTATGTTTCACCGTGTCCGTTTTCATTTATCGCTCAGACATTTTATATAACATTCATGAATGTGTTTGTTAAAATGATCCTGTTCCCTAATATTTCTATCGATGTTAAAAATTGTTTTTAAAAGAAATATGACATTATAGACATAACGGCTCTTTCATCATAGAAAAATTAATGACATAGACAGCAATAATATAATATTTAACGTTCTTGATTCAACTTTGTATTGTTTTTATAAGGATATAAATATAAACAATAAAATTTCTTTTTTTTTTTAGCGTGTGATTTAACGTTGCAACTATTTTAGAAAAAAATGCATAACCCGCTTATGCACGTTATTCATTTTTGTTCATCATTTCTTATCATACAAACGACCAAAGGAAGCATTTTATTCTTTAAATAAATAAAAGAAAGAAGGAAAAATGCAAAGAATACACATGTCCATTGCTACATTTGAAAAGTATTATAGGTGTTTAATTTGCAGCAAGCATTCAAATCAATTGCTAACTTGTGTATTTTTAGAATTTCTAAATTCTGTCCAAAACCAAATATCTAACCGGGATCTCAGATATGCTTCTTGAACCTTCCATTTTACTTTGAATAATCAATCCATCAATTTCTGGAAAAAATATATTTAATGAAACAAACAATTCAAGCTGAATCAATATGACATATTTATTGCAATGGTTAAGTCATAAATCTTATAATATTTAATTATATTTTAATCGACAAGTAAAAAACGTTTTTTGATGTGAAATATGTATTTTAACATTTCTTTAAATAGAGCGCATAAAATGAAATATCCCGGCACAATCTTTATTCTAAGACAGGAAACACCAACATACTCAAATCAGATGTAATGAAATATGTGGAGATAAGGAGCATAATTCAAGATCAAAAGTCCATTCAAACAACATAGGCCAGGAGCAGAGAAAGAACAGGGACATATAAAATATCAGAGGTTGGATCAGGGGCCATGGAGGTGTGAGCATTCTCTGTCGATCAATTGTAATGATCGGGAAATAACGTAAAAATCAATCGAAAATTCGATGTGCAAAAGATAGTCTAACAAAAATAACATCAGTAAGCATTTGACTTAATGATAGACGGTATCTGCTGACAAGGTCATTGTATCGACCAGAGAACTTACGAAATGATGTCTTTCAACGAGACTATTGATAATCTTATTTCATCGAGTTGTTTGTTAATAACTTACCCAGTTTTACAATTTGTTGATACGTAGAGCATGGTCTTGCAAGAGAGATATAAACACTATATGCAGGTAATGAGGGTATATTGCTACATACATGTAGGTTAGGAAAGTTGACAATTGAAAAGTTTAATTCATTACGTTTTGTTAGATGATCATTATCGTCTTTTTCTATTACAATGTCCTAATATGAAACAGATGTTTCAGACTCTGTGGTTTGGGATATACATGTATTGTGTCGACACATGAATGAAAAATGATTATTGTTAATTGATATTAAATATCTAAATGTCAAGTTGAAGGCTACAGCAAGTGCTTTCGTCCTCTCATGTGTAAGACTTTGAAGAAAATACTTCAATCATACAGGAGACTTTTGATTTAATTTGTAAATTCATATATACTGCCACCAGTTGTCATGTTGTAAATTTGTATTTACAGCTGCCATTCGGTAAATTTTAAGTTTACAAAATGACGGTTTCATCCTCCCTTTGGAGAAATCACTTTACAGTTTTATCTTTTCCTATTCTCTTAACATATACACGAGCATGGGAATGAAAAGGTTATCCTTCGCATATTCCTTAAAATAATTTTTAATTAATGTCGAATGCATGCACATGTATCAAAACTTTGGATTTGGGTGCTTAAGTCGCCAGAATGATTTTTTTATGCATTAGCAGGGTATTAGTCCACTATTGTTTGTTAGACTGCTTAGCGAGATATATCATCCTCTTCTACCGTTAATTCAACAGCATTTATAATGTAAAAAAAACATTGAAACCTTACACATGTAACTGTTAAAGACGTTTTCTTAATTGAAACACAAATGAAAATTTCTATCCTTACTCAAGTAGACGTGCTTTCGTTTTGTTCACATATATACAACGTACAGGTTTTTATCAGAATATAGATATATGAAAATAGATTGTGATGCTTGAATCGATTCAAGACGTTTAAAGATAATAGGTAGCTACATGTCAAACGAAGTAATGTTAATTAACCAAGAGATATACGCGCAAATAATTGTAATACATTTCCTTGTTGCATGCATGATCTGATGGAATCCATTTTGACCGTACGTACGTGCAAGAAATACTGTAACATTAACTATTGTATATAGGGAGTCTACTCTGATTTAGACGTGATAATGACGTCATGACATTCTGGTTAGCAACACACTTAACGTCCATGCATACAATCCATTGAAAATGTAATACCTTTTCCAGCAAATATACGGAAGCATAACAGTTTATCATTCTAATCGATTGTATTTACCTACATCGTACTTAGCTTTTTTGTTCACAATTCATTCTTGGTAAAAACGAATGCCTAATAATTGATGTCACATTTGTACTAATTTTTGATGTAATATTTTATGATAAACTAGTGTTATTAAACAGCAAAATCAGAGGATCTTTTTGAGATTTTTACTTATTACGTATTCTCAAAATCCCACAATGATCCAATACGGCGAAAATTGAAAATGGAAACTTGATTTTCCATGGCTGGAGGTGACACAATCAGCTGCCTTTGGAATGTCATTTTTCTCTTTTATCTAGTTCATTAGTATTGATTGAAGATGAACTGTTTTGTTATCGATCGTGAGATAATGAGTTCGGCGTGAAATAAATAGTTTATGATTCTATATGACAAAATATCTACTGTGCTGTTTGAATTCTGATCCGTCAAGCATAATTAAACAAAAGGGTCATGTCCTCAATTCCGATTAATTAATGTACCATTGAGACATTTGAGACGCTAATGAACAAACTGAGTTACATCAATTTTTTTAGGTCACGCAGGTTATTGTATCTACAAAAATATAAAATATTCACATCATTGCAGATTAAAGGACGTTTTACAAAAATTGATGCATTCAAAAGTCGTATTTCACAGCAAATGAAGCAACAAGTCATCTTTGATGAGTAAGCTTTCTTTGTATTGATTATTTTGATATACAGTTTTCTTTTGATGTTAATCTTTTATTGGTCTCTGTTTCAAATTATAAAATAATATTATATTCGGATTTATGATTGGCAATATCTTGTGTTTAAGAAGTGCACCTTGATTGCCATTTTATAAATTCTTCGACTTTCTCTTCAAATCTGGGCTGGCTATTTTCATCAATATTCCAATTTTAAATTTTAAAGGAAATGTCTACTTAATTCTATAATCAATATATTAAAAAAAATATACGGCTTTTGAAATGAACAAAACTAATAAGATTAGCAAGAGCGATTGTTGGAACTTATGCTAGTCAGCAGGATGATTATATGTGAGGAAAGATAACGATGTCTAAATTTGAAATAGTAGCAAACTGTTTGATGACCCTTAAAGAAAAAAAAAATCAAATGCAACAAGAAAATCATAGACTACTTAATACGAAATGCAAAAAAGCTAAAAAATAATGAAACTCACCAGTGAAACATCGCTATCCAAATCTTCTGCAATGACAGATTGGTGCTTGCTACGCGCGCTCCTACCCGAACTCGCAGACGACAACCTCTCCCTCATTTCATGAAATATTTCCTTTGTCGATCCAACATTGGGACGAAATTTGGCAGATTTTGAGAACCTTCGCAATAGTCGCCCCGATAACGTGTCAGAATTTGTGTCACTCTTACTGCTTTTGCAGCTGTCTTCCAGGACCAGACTAACGTTGGGGTCTGCTATCCTACTTACTGAGAGGCCTGACAGTAAAGCATGTATTACCGTCTGCTGCTCAACACTTACGTTGCGATGGATATCAAAAGGTGTGTTTCCATCGAGATTTTTTTCTTGCGTTTTCGCACCGTATTGCAATAATTCTCTAACACAATGTAGATTGAAATACGCGGATGATACGGCGAGATGCAAAGGTGTATTTCCACGTGCGTCTTGCACGGTGGGGTCAGCCCCGTGCAGCAACAACAAGTGTGTCAACACAGGCTTCTGCTCAACAACGCACAAAAACAGAGGAGGGAGGTGATAGAGATCATCGACTGAGTAGTCTCCAAAATCGTTGCTGGTGACGGGTGCGGGCGGAGCTAAACTGTTGTTCGTCTCATCATTATTGATGCCGAAGTGATCAGCCCTCGTGTTATGATAATCGATCTGTGGACTCAAGCTTCCTCTCTGTGCAGAAGAAGGCTTTACTATATTAATTTTCAGTGCGTCGATAGCATGGCATCCTGGTTTTATGTGACTGATCAAATTAGCGGTGGGGAAATTAGGATCAATATTGCATCTTAACAAAAGTTTGACAGCATCAGTTGAGTTGTTATGAATAGCAACATGCAGAGCAGTTCTAAATATTAATGGAATGTCACACTCAGGCGTCACGCTTTCTCGACGATCGAAAGACTCTATTGGGGTCGGACATCTCCTGTTGATCTCTGTGTCGGTGCTAAACCGGCTGCTTGGGCGTCGACTTCGCGAACCTACACTCAACCTGTCCTCCCTGGTTTTCCGCGGAAATTTTGCAAAGTGGATTTCAAAAATCTTTTGAAGACTTTTAGTGTCATCTTCCACCAAAGCTTTTTCTAATTGCGCGCTCTCGAATGACAAATCAAAAATTGAAGACGTAATACTGCTGGCACGTGCGGCAGATGAACCGGAACTTCGGGGAGACAAGAATGTTTGGGTACATAGCAACCCTGGGCTAACTTCTTGAAACGAATTTTGTTCCTGAAGTTCTGGTACCACCACAAGGTCTGGGATCGGGCTGCGCATGCCCGTGCATTCTTTTCCAGGTTGAAGTCCCCGGAAATCGCTGTAATCATGTCCTAGGCCATTTGTTCTTGTCCATTCCCAATGATGACTCATTTTAAATTCATGCTGTAACTGTAAAAAAAAAATGAATAAGATTTATTAAACATGTGAAACAAAATGAATCATATTAACCTTCCTCCCTGTGTCATTCCACTCCTTCCTCTACACATACATGAAAAAAGTTAGACCATTTTATTCACGAATACGTATGTGCATGTGTAAAATAGGAAGCGGAAGAAATCTCTTTTGATGCAAATTCGAATTTAAGGTATTGTGGTTGCATGAGTTATAAACGGTCTGAAGCAATAAATAGGTTCTACATATATATTTTACTTCCAATATGTATATCTTGCTTAGTTTTCCTCCATTTTATTGAATGAAATATACGTTTTTAAGTCTTTGTGTGCCTAAATGGATCTATTTTATATTTCTTTTTGGATTTATGACTCGGTTAATGTTTTAAGCACATATTTTACTTAAAGGTTTTTACTATTTTGATGGCTAATCAGTCAGGAATTATATTATTTATGAATATTAATGATTATGATAATAAGGATAAGACGATTTTAGTAATAATATAAAAGCAAATACATATATACAGCGATTAAAAATAAAATAAATGGAGATAACGAACAGTATTCTAGCTCAAAAGTCCATAAAACAATACAAAATAGGGACAGAAAAAACACGGACCTCCATAACATTAAAGGTGGGATGCAATGTCATATAGGATCTCCTGCATCTCCTGCCGACCGAAATAACAGAAAAATCCGTCCTCAATTCAGTTTGTAAAATAATAGCCTAACAATATTAACATGAAAAAACGTCAGACAGCATTGGACTCAATGATAAATTGTATTCGCTGACAAGGTCATTGTATCGACCATAGAACTTACAAAATGATGACTTTAAACGAGACTGCTGATATTCATGTTTAATCAATTTGTTTGTCAAAAATATACTTCGTTTTAAAAATTGTGCTTACGTAGAGCATGCTCTTGCATATCGAATCAACTTAGAGATATAAACCCCGTATGCAGGTGATGAAGGTATATTGTTACATGAGTAAGGGAAGTTGACGATTGAAATTTAAAGTCATCACGTTTATCATAGAGCGTGGTTGTTAGATTACCGCTAGCGTCTTTTCTTTCAAGTAAACTATCCTTATAACACTCATATAAACGGATATATGAAAAGTTTCTGTAAAAAATCAAAATGCTTCAGAAAGATTTTTAATGTAAATACATGTTCACATAAAATAAACATTTACTTTTGATTTAAAAAAAAACGTTTGGAATTCGTTTTTATTCATCTCTTCTCCAACTAAGTAATATTATGCATGAGAAAAAGAAGAAACATTTGCAGTGTCCTTCAACTCGACATTTAGATATATTGACGGTATATCACAATAATTATTTCCATTCATATGTCGATGCAGTGTTTTCCTGATCTTGAAATAATTAGCTACCACAGAGTCTGACACATCTGTTTCACATTTATTAATTTTATCAGAAAAGGACGTTAATGTTGACGTTACATTCAAGCTTCATGATAAACATGACGACTTTTAAATCTTCATCTTCCCTCACTCATGCAGTAGTATACCCATATCATCTACCTACGGAGTTAACATCTCTAAACTGAACCGATGTACAAAAGCATACTCTACGTATGAATTATTTCTGAAACAATGTAAGTTGTTGACAAACGAGTAGATGAAACAATAATATCAACAGTTCTGTGGCTCATACAATAAACTTATCAGCAAATATAATGCAGTGTGTAATATTAAGTCAAATGTTGACAGACTAATTGTTAGGCTATGATTAACACACTGCATTTCCCCCCTTATTTCCAGATTATGACCAGAAACACTCGGTGAGTGTGACCGGTCAGCAAGGGATACTCACTCCTCCAAGGCAACTGATCCTACCTCTAATGTTTAAGAGGTTCTTGTTTTCTCTGCTCCTGATTTGTGTTGTTTGACTTTCGAACTTGAATACACATGTACTGTTCGTTATCCCCATACATGTATATTTCACTGTAACTAATATTTACTGCTAAAAGTGTTTTACTAGTGAATGTGTACATGATCTGAGAAAAAAATGACCACATCTGACGTCAGAAGGATGGTTGTGATTAATAACCTACATCTGGCATTCCGTAATGTCGTTTTGTAATCATCATTAAGCAAATCTATTTCTAGTGCTGAAATTTAGCCCAAACATAAAAATAGGTCTACCCCCCGTGATTGTTGCACTACGGCTTTCATTCAATAATTCCCATTGTTGTTTTGTAATAAAACGTCGATAAACAGAAGAAAGGAACAGATTTCCATGTGTTCAGAACTCTGTTTCATGTCTTCTTGGAGATCATTATTAATTTACGTGTGCCCTCTCTAATTTCAGATGTAAGAACTTTAAAGTTCGTTTTATTTGGTCATTCTTGCTTTGTCATGCACCGATTTGCATGCCTTAACCCTCTGGAGAGATTGTTTTCCTTATCGTAATCAGCACGACTTTTATTTGCTCTACAGATATATAATTAATGGCCTGAAAAGAAACAAAAAACTGTTTCCAAAATACCCATATGCAGCCAATAAATGTGACATATATTTCACTTTGATTCCCCATTGTGGCCCCGCCCTATATGATTTGAACAATTTACAATCTACACTACCCAGGGTGCATATATAGTAGAAGATTTTTAAAGTATAATACTAGTAAATAAAATTAACGGAATTTCAATTTTGTATTACTAGTATTATGGAACATTGCTGAACAAATCATTCTTCTTTGCAAAGTTCTTGAAGAACACAGACGGACTCAGAAAAGCTCACTTTTATATCATAGGCAATATGTAAAATGAGAGAAATTGAGGAAGTGATGCAGCCAATAAATGTGACCACTTTGTTTTATATATATTAGTATAATACTAGTAAATAAAATTAACGGAATTTCAAAAACGACATTCTTCTTTGTAATATACATGTATATATATATATATATATATATATATATATATATATATAGAGAGAGAGAGAGAGAGAGAGAGAGAGAGAGAGAGAGAGAGAGAGAGAGAGAGAGAGAGAGAGAGAGAGAGAGAGAGAGAGAGAGAGAGAGAGAGAGAGAGAGAGAGAGAGAGAGAGAGAGAGAGAGAGAGTGAGAGAGCAGAAAAATATATAATTATAGTTATTATTTTCAGAGACATGATGGGTTTCATTTGCGTCCAGCATTAGCACCGAAATGCCTTGTAAGTAATGAGATTACCATCCACCCATAATCGGCTTCTAACCTGTAGACTCCTGCAGTACTGTTTCCACACTGAGTCGCACTTTTAAGTCTTAATGTCTATAGTGTACAACTGCAACACCAACCAGGAAACAAAAATTCGGATGCACTGAGTCAGCAATATGCATATAATCAAGAAAAAATACTAAAAGGTAAAAAGAAGGGAGAGCAAGAGCCAAAGATCAAATAAACACACTACTTTCCCAAGCGTGAAAAGAAGGATTGTACTAGGATTGAAATTTAGATAACGACATTCACAACAATATATATTCCTTCTTAGATGCTGGCTCTAAGAGGATATTATGATGTAAAAATAGCTGCATATGAAACAAATGTTATATGAAACTACATTTAGATAAAACAACATTTACAAGAATGCAAATAGTAGAATGGAAATGGTAGTTCCTCACTTGAAAAAATAGCAATGACGTGGATCAGCAAAAATATCAAGGGAGAACTATTAACCATGGATGATGTCAACAAAACTTTTCAAATTATTTCAAGAAGAAAAAGGAACGGTCCCATTCGCAAACAAGCAAGCAAAGATAGTAGGTACTCTTACTGTTAGTAAAAGTATCTTCCTACTCAAACTTCGACCGCGACAGCCGATGCATCAGAAACAGGAAAAGGGACCAACCAAAATAACATGTAATCTGTTAAGCAATGGAATGTTAGTCTTAAGGATTTTAACAAGACCTTTGTAAATATAGCAGAATGAAGTATATACACCAAGTGACCGTATTACTAATTAAAATAAAAACGTACACTCCCATTCCTGATTCTGAAAGTGTTAATGCCACGTGACATGATGTCCAAAGTGCATTTTTGTAAAGGGTCAAAGAATACAGAAAATACAAAATTGACAATGACTCAACAGAAGTATGGAGACTAAAGGAAAACAAGTCAGGTTAAGGTACATGTGATTTTTCTTCTTTGAAAATGAGCAACTTCTGTTGCCACTTGACAAAATGTCCAAAATGCATAGAAATTGATCATGTTAATGAAATGTGGAAAAATCAAGTCAAATCATGGCCTATATAGAGTGAAGAAAACCTAATGCGGTGAAGATTATATAATTTGTGTTCATCAGATGTTGATGAACTGCAAAATCATATAAATAAGGTGGAATACAACTAAGATACAGATATTAAGTGGCATAGAAAATCTATTACGGGAGATACCGTTGGCAAAATGAAGCGGCGCCGCGTGGCAAAGTGGTTAGAGTAATTGCTCTAGAGTCACGAAGTTGATCTATACGTCGCTGGTTGGATTCCAACTGCGTGACGTGGAGACCAGTACTTCGGATAAAACCGTATAAACATAAGTCCAAAAATATTCAGAAAAAAGATGAGTTGGCTTCTGCTTCAGTCTTTCTCTTAGGATTTTGGGGAGAAAGTATAGTGAGATAGACGAGCGGAAGGACTGACGGATCAATATATATAAAACCAATTTGAAACTTTCTTCAGTAAGTGCTAGCATAAAGAGTATATAATTTGTTAAATTTCATTCAGATTTTATTTTAGATGCTTTGAGAAATCGTTTAGATGTCAAAAATGTTCAGGGTTGATTTAAATCAAAAATTGATACTATTTAACCTCAGCTATGAAATTAAAACTGCTGACGTCATGAGGTACATGGTATACATATGTTAGTCGAATTTAGTGCCTGGTCAGAGAACAACGCATATACGTCTTTGGTCTGTCTTGAAGAAGTAAATTCTTGTACGTTCTTTCAATCGATTCTTTTTCTCCGAGAAGCCCAATAAAGCAAATATTTGAAAGG